ATGTATTATGGCATGCCGTTCATTCGGTTCATTCCATATGCAGACATTCATTCCATATATTCAAGGTTCATTCAATATATTCACACTTTAATTCCATATATTCGAGGTTCATTCCATATAGTCAGACATTCATTCCATATATTCAAGGTTCATTAAATATATTCGGACTTTCATTCATTCCATATATTCAAACTTCATCCTGTATTATATATATAATAATTTCCTGAACGGCATGCCATAAAATACATAGATAGATATTTTTTTATACAGTAATAAAAGCTGCCAAAAAGATTGATATTTTAAAGAAAATAATAATTGAATGTAGTGGATGTTGTTTATGCAGGTAATTTTAGATGGTGTACACATGTAAACAGAGAACAAAGGAGGACTGATGATTGATCCTTGGGGAACACCAAAGGTCTGAGTGGCCTGCAGAAAAGCATCAGAAACAACAAAAGAAGTTTTTTAGGGGGCTGGTGGAAGAGTTTGCAACTATTGGCAAATGTCTATTGTGAATTCTGAGTAAAACTTTGATGCTTTGTAATTGTTTTTATCCCAAGATCATTTTGAGACGTAGGCCAATCCTTTATGTGGTAAACCTCCTGTTGCCTAGCTGCTTCCTCATCACATTGGACCTCTTCAGCTTCCTGCTGCCTCCCCAAGGTGTGGACCGGTCCTCCTTTAAGATGACTCTCATCCTGGGCTACACCGTTTTCCTGCTCATCATGAATGACCTGCTGCCTGTCACTGGAAATACAACACCTCTAATAAGTGAGTGACACCTGTGATATATTGTTGTATAAGATTAACCACTGTGGCCAATTCTTCTTCTTGACCAGATGCCATTGTTAACCAGTTATACCTTGTCTTATGATGGCTCCTCTGGCAACTGAATTTTAACTTAATATAAATGTGAATATGCTCTCTGCCCTTGATAATTAAAGTTAAAATGAAAAATGTGTCTTTACTTCTTAATTGTCTGGTCTGTTTTCCTGCAACTGTCAGTCTGGCTCTGATGGTGGCCAGCCTGATGCAAATGCTTGAAAGAGACCTTAATATTATCACCATAACCCCAGTTCTCTGTGCTATGTGAAATCACTTACACCCTTGATTAATAAAGTTTGAATTAAAAGTGTCTCCTTATTTCTTTTCACCCTTTTTCTGTTGGTTTCATGCAGATGTTTTATTCTCAGTGAGTCTGGCTCTGATGGTGGCCAGCCTGTTGGAGACAGTGTTTATCACCAACATCCAGTTCAGCACCAGAAAGGTGCCTCACTGGCTCAGTGTCCTTGTGCTACGTTATTTAGCTGTTGTTGTTTGTCTCCCTCCAAAAAAGAAGAGCAACCGCGTCACAGTCTCCCTTCACCCACCTGCTAGAGGTACAGTAACTCATCATTGTTATTTTTGAGTCACATCTGTCACTGTTACTGCTGCTTCATCTTATTTTAATAATTTTTTATGCAACTCATTTGAACAAAGTCAAATAATCTAAGCTTGACTAAAAAGCTAAATAAACTCTTGAATGGAGCTTGTTCATTTGTCATGGAGATACACTTAAAGGCTCTTGAAAAAGCTAGTGAAAGTCAACTACATGTTAATTATCTTACATATTTTTATTTTTATCATGATGGTCACTGAGCCACTGATTAGGTATTGAAATAGGCCTTGATATATATTTGCAGTATTATGAACTGGCTGTTTGCTTTAAAAGCATTTCACTGGTGAAGGACTACTTGACGTCCTCCGAGAATCGCCACGTTAACGTGGTGGAGGGGTTTGAGTTTCCATGTGAACCTGGGAGCTGTGTTGTCCGGGGCGAATAGCCCCTGGTAGGGTCTCCCAAGGCAAAGTGGTCCCGGGGGAGGTACCAGACCAAGAGCGATTCAAAGACCTTGATGAAACAGACCTTTTGGGAGCAAAGTACCTTGCCCGGTATGGGGACACTGGGGCCACCTCCTGGAGCCAGACCTGGGGGGAGAGCTCTCCAGCAAGCGTCTGGTGGCTGGGCCTTCGGCCATTGGGCCCAATTGTGCTCAGCCCGAAAAGAGAACATGGTGCCGTCGCCCTGTGGGCCCACCACCCAGAGGGACAGAAATCGGGACCGGGGCATTGTGTGCCGGGCGGCAGGCAGGGGCGTGGCCCCTGGCATGCCGATCCCTGCAGCACTGGTTCTGGAGTTGCCCAGGGTGAGAGGCGCCAGGTGCGTGTGGGGATATTCACAAGCCCCCGGCTGAGCGCCGCCGTGTTGGGGTTTGCCCCAGAGGAGGAGAGGGTCGTTTCGATGCGACTGTGGGTCACAAAGAGAAGGTCTCTGCCTGTTGTTTGTGCTCATGCACCGAACGGCAGTGCGGAGTACCTGGAGTACCCCCGGAGTACCCGGAGTCTCTTGGCAGTGTCCTGCAAGGGGTGCCGGCTGGGGACTCCATAGTTCTCCTGGGGTACTTCAACGCTCATGTGGGCAATGACGGAGAAACCTGGAGGGGGGTGATTGGGAGGAACGGCCTGCCTGATTTGAACCCGAGTGGTGCTTCGTTATTGGACTTCTGTGCGAGTCATGGACTGGCCATAATGAACACCATGTTTGAGCACAGGGAGGTTCTACCAGAACACCCTAGGCCAAAGATCAATGATCGATCTTGTGGTCATATCAGCAGATCTGCAGCCGTGTGTCTTGGACACTCGGGTGAAGAGAGGAGCAGAGCTGTCAACTGATCACCACCTGGTGGTGAGTTGGATCAGATGGCGGGGGAGGCTGCCGGACAGACCTGGTAAACAAAAACATGTAGTGAGGGTGAACTGGGACTGTCTGGCTGAGGACCCTTTCCGTGGGGTCTTCAACTCCCACCTCTGGGAGAATTTCTCGTGCATCCCAGGGGAGGTTGGGGACATGGAGTCTGAGTGGGCCATGTTCAAAGCCTCCATTGTGGAGGTGGCTGCTAGGAGCTGTGGTCAGAAGGTTGTCGGTGCCTGTCGGGGCAGCAACCGAGGATCCCGCTGGTGGACATCAGCGGTGAGGGAGGCTGTCAGGCTGAAGAAGGAGGCCTTTTGGATCTGGCTGGCGCAGGGGTCTCCTGAAGCAGCAGACAGGTACCGGTTGGCCAGAAGGGCTGCAGCTGTGGAGGTCGCTGAAGCAATTGAGAAAGACTTTCGGTTGGCGACAAGGAAGTTCTGACAGACCCTTAACCGACTCAGGAAGGGAAAGCAGGGCTTGTCTCAGGCTGTGCTCAGCAGAGAGACTGCTGACCAGAATTGGGGATATCGTCGGGCGGTGGAAGGAGCACTTTGAGGACCTCCTGAACCAGGCCATCACATCCACTGTGAACGAGGCAGAGCCTGAAGACTCGGTAGAACTCTCACCAATATCCCTGGCAGAAGTTGCTGAGGTAGTTAAAAAGCTCCCCAGTGGCAAGGCGCCAGGTGTGGATGAGATTTGCCCTGAGATGCTGAAGGCTCTAGGCACTGTTGGGCTGTCTTGGCTGATACGCCTGTTCAGTGTCACGTGGAGGTCTGGTACCGTGCCTGCAGAGTGGCAGACTGGCGTGGTGGTCCCCATCTTCAAAAAAATGGACCAGATGGTGTGCTCCAACTATCGGGGTATCACACTGCTCAGCCTCCAGGGTAAAGTTACTCCAGGGTGCTGGAAAGGAGGCTCCAACCGATTGTCGAACCTAAGATTCAGGAGGAGCAATGTGGATTCCGTCCTGGCTGTGGAAAAGTGGAACAGTTCTTTACCCTTGCAAGGCTGCTGGAGGGGTCGTGGGAGTTTGGCCATCCAGTCTACATGTGCTTTGTGGACTTGGAGAAGGCTTACGACCACGTCCCTCGGGGGGTCTTGTGGGGGGTACTACGGGAGTACGGGGTGCCAGGCTCGCTGCTACGAGCTATCCAGTCCCAGTATGACCAAAGTGAGAGCTATGTCGCATACTTAAAAGAAGTGAAGTCGAACACGTTCTTGGTGGGTGTTGGCCTCCGCCAAGGTTGTCCCTTGTCACCAATCCTGTTTGTGACCTTCATGGACAGGATTTTGAGGCACAGCCGGGGGGAGGAAGGGGTCCGGTTTGGGGACCTCAGAATTTCATGTCTGCTTTTTGTAGATGATGTGGTTCTGTTGGCTCCATCACACCGTGACCTCCAGCATGCACTGGGGCATTTTGCAGCCGAGTGTGAAGCAGTTGGGATGAGAGTCAGCACCTCCAAGTCTGAGGCCATGTTTCTCTGTCAGAAACCAGTGGATTGCTGTCTCTGGGTTGGGGGACAGTTACTGCCTCAAGCAAGGGAGTTGAAGTATCTTGGGGTCTTGTTCATGAGTTAGGGTGGAATGGAGCGTGAGATGGATCGGCTGGTTGGTGCGGCTTCTGCAGTGATGCGGGCGCTGCGCCGGTCCGTCGTGGTGAAGAGGGAGCTGAGCCGGAAAGCAAAGCTTTCGATTTACTGGTCCATCTATGTCCCAACCCTCACCTATGGTCATGAACTTTGGGTAGTGACCGAAAGAATGAGATCACGGATACAAGCGGTGGAAATGAGTAATCTCACTGTAATCTTGTTTTATATATATCCAGCCATGAGTCCCAGCATCATCTCTTCAAGAGATCTTCAGAGCGTCTCTGGTGATACACCTCATGAGAAACCCCCTCCGGATCCAGCCCTGGATGAACTGAGGAAGCTGAGCAGAGATCTCATGGCCATCCGCCTCCAGGTAGACAAACATGCCCAGGGGGGCAATACCACACATGAATGGCAAATGATCGGATTAGTCATTGACCGCCTGCTTTTTGGCCTGTACATTGCCATTATCTCTTCCCTTTTTATCACTATCATATCCATCTGGGTCTGGAGTAACGCAGAACTTAGTTGACTTAATGGAAGAGTTAAGTCAGACAATTATGTGGCTCATCAGCAAAAGTTTGACCAGTTAGCAGCTTACACTTGGATTTATTATTCAGTAGTTCGAGTAGAAGATTCAGAATCTGAGTTATTTGATGCAGGAAAACAAAATGAAATGCAGAAAACATCCAGTATGTATAGAAGGAATGATTACACCAGGCTTAGCTTATTTTAATGTTTATATGGATACCGACTGTTTTTTATAGTAGAATCGAAAAATGTGAACCTATCCTTTAACCAGTATTAATTATCTTCATGAACAATCAATGGTTGAGTCCAAGTTAAAGTTTCTGTATAATTAATTGGAGATATTCTGATAATAGACCCTATATTTTACGTAAAATGCCATGCCTACACTTCAAGCCCAAAACACACAAAAAAAAATGTCTCTTTCCTGAAATCATGACCTGGCTTCTCAAGATAATCCTCAGACCTTGTTGTGAGCAGTTTTATGTAGGAACTCTTTTCCAGAGATGGGGACTCGACTCATTGTGACTTGGACTTGAGTTGACTTGAGTCACTGTTTTGATGACTTGTGACTTGACTTGACAAAAAATAAAAGACTTGACACTTGACTCGGACTTGGAAGTTAAAGACTCGGGACTTGACTTGACTTGAGACACGATGACTTGAATGACTTGAATGACTTGATTGTTATTCACATCATGTTTTCGGTTAGAATCTAAAATTAATAAATTAATTTAAAAAATAATGTCGATTACCTGGTAGGAGCGCAGGCTGAGAATGGCGTTGTCATGATTGGATCACTACCCTGTCAATCAGTCATGCCCTCTCTACGTACCTTACATGTTTATTGGAGAAACAGGTCCTCTTATATCAGATAGGCATCAACATGTCAGCGGGAGAGGTACCGAGAGTCATCGTCTTCGGCTTTCGGATTACCATTATTACGGCAAAAGACGAACAGCACAGTGCAAGACATGCGGCATAAACATCTCGGACAGCCAGGCGACAACTTCAAACTTTGTTCGGCATTTGAAGAGCCATTCTGCCCAGTAAGTGCTTGTCAATTAGCTAATATTATCTGGTTAGTCAGATAATTTATTTGCTAACATTAACCCCAGAAAACGTGAGCGAACATTCCGACCGGTTCATCACAAGACCGGCTGTACGTTTTATTAACGAGCAACACAGGGTTAAATGAGCTAAATGGGTGATTTTGGTCGCTGCCTTGGTTAGTGTGTGTGTGTGTGTGTGTGTGTGTGTGTGTGTGTGTGTGTGTGTGTGTGTGTGCGTGCGTGCGCGCACGCATGGGGGTCGTCCCTGCAAAGTAAACATTGCAGCGATGAAGTCAATGTTTACTGACAGTTACTTATATCTTGTCTTTTCACTTCATTAAGATCAGATTCTGCAGGTAAAATTACAGTAATAAGGTGACTTGACTTGGACTTGACTTGACCTATTACAGGACTTGACTTGACTTGACTTGACTTGACTTGACTTGACTTGACATAACCTGTGACTTGACTTGACTTGACTTGCCCTGCCCAAGAAAAAATGACTTGGGACTTACATGAGACTTGAAGGTTAAGGTTACTTGAAGGTTGAAGGTTACTTACTTGAGACTTGCACATGTGTGACTTGGTCCCATCTCTGCTGCTTTGAGCACCAGAAGCAGAGTGCCATCTAGTTACATTATATTTGAGAGAAGGCAGACATCTCTACAGCTGATATCTCCAACACTCAGAAACTCACACCAAAACAATTTAGACTGATAAATAACACTACAGGTAAGAGGAAAAATATGGATTTTTAAATTTTGGGGTTAACTGTCCCTTTAAACAATTAAATCCAGTCAGGACCACTTATTAACAAACATATCTCAAGACACCTTAAGGTCTTCTAATCCTCATGAATGGACAGTCTCTCGTGTCAAAGCTCAATTCTATTGTAGGCTAATAGTTTCCTTTTTTTTCGGAGATCATTAATCTCTTTCTGCTGCTTTGTCTTTGTCTTGAAGTCTTTATTTCCTCATCTTTAAACAAGATTTTTATGCTTTTGGTTTATGTTATGTGACAATGAAAAAATGACAAACTATGTAATGGTGTTTTTGTTTGTATCTGCTCTATAAATGTCTATTTGTGTCTATAGGATTGCATTGAAAATGAGATGCTATATCTCAAAGGGATATCCTTTCAATAAATTTCTTATACAGCACTGGATAATGAAACAGGTTGTAACTCCTATAGGTGCCAGTATTGAAAATAAAATGGTGAAGTTGTTACCAGTGTGGAACGACTGCTCTGTTCCCTGTGTGTTTATGTTTAGATCAGGGATTTTCAAAGACTGACACTGTTTTGTAACCTATGGGTTAAACCTTTATTTTAATGTCATTTGATTGCATATCTTTATCTCTAAAATAAAGAATACTGCATGTGTAAAATCTGAAATGTGAATTAAACATAAAAACGTTGTTTGCAACTTTGTTTGTTTTATTTTCACAACCCAAAACAGTTTTCTTTTCTTCCTTTTGTCTAATCTTCCAGTCCAAATTCATCTTTGCCAGGGGCAGGGCTGTTTCAAGACACTCTGGGGGCCCCAGGCAAGAGGCACCTTGGAACCCCACCCCCCGCCCCTGCCTCTAGGGTGACCAGGTCCCAATAAACCAAATGTGGGACAAGGAGTAGGTTTGTGAGGGACAATGTGGGACACCCGCCCCCAGTGCGAAGTTTAGTCATCAGAGACTTGTCCCGATACCAAAATTGGGACCCACGGTACCATACCAGTTAAAGTATCACGGTTCTGAGTAGTATCACAATACCACAACAAAAATTAGGCAGATGTGCCTTTTGTCATTTATAAAAAGATAAATCACTTTTCTATAATACATCAATGATATTTCAATGGAATAAATTACTTATGGACTTATTCATACTTCAAAAACAGCATCAATAAATGATTAACATAGGGGGGATCAAAATTAAATAAATAAATAAATGAAATAAAAATCAACCAACCACCCTCCTCCCCTGACATGTAAAGAACAGTCCCTTCATAAGTAAAGAACAGTCCCTAAAGTGCGGTGAGGTTTGTGGGCCGTTACCTGCCACAAAGAGAGAAATGTGAACGGCTCGTTTCTCCTCTGACACATCACATACCTGTGTGCCGCCATGGCTCGGCTGTTCAGGTATTTCTGGGCAGTCATGAAATCAACAAAGAGGAAATTATTGGACCTGGAGCCAGACTTCTCCGTTGCCGGTAAGCCCTTATCTTGCGCCGTATTTTACAGGAATATGGCGTCTGTGACCCCCGTTCAACCCACAACCGGCAGGATTCGCCTTTCGTTTCTGCTGCTGGTTGAAATCTGTACTCGCACAGCGTGCTCCTGAATGATTTGTTTTGCTTGCACAAAACTATTTTTAGTTGCAAATGCGAGTAAAATGCTGAACCGTAGAGCTCTGTGGAAAACAAATCATTGTAGCATATATAAACAAATCAACCTACAAGTAAAAAGAAATAAATAATAACTTTCACTGCTTAAAGATACTCAATAGCTCAGCTAATACCTGAAATGTCACTGGATACAAACCACTGCAGCGGCATATTGAGTGCCAGGTGGCCAGCTTGCACCAATTATTGGACGGCGCATAGACACTCACCCTCTTACGATTGGACTTTAAACTTATCCCACAGTAGTGGTACCATGAGGTGCCGTAGTACTACGGTACTCCAACAATGCTAGCGCAGGTGGCAACCAATCATGCGGGACATGGCCTCAATTTGCGCAACGTGTGAAAAGAGACAGGAATGCTGTGCAGTCCCGCACAATGCGGGATGTCTGGTCACCCTACTTATGCTCCTCTTAGCTCCACTCTCTCCCACTCTCCATCTCTCTGTTTATCATGACACTACTGCTGAAGGAGTGTGAACTCCATGTCTGTGACAGACTCACACACACAGTGACACGGCAAAATGTTGCCATAACACAGCTAACGTTGCCCATCAATGGATTAACAGAGTCGTGACATTTGGTGTCTAAACGTTTTCACTCTGACCTCGTCACATATCAATGTTTGATCGTGGACTTCCACATCGTAATATGAAGTATACATTTTCAGTCAAGCAACAAATATTTGCATGTTTCAACAAACCCTTTTACCTACAGAAATCTCTGCCCTGGAGGTGTCCAGTGAACCTGTAAAACCCTGTTCATGTCTTCACTAAAAGCTTTTCTATTTGCTTTCTTTCCCTAACACTATAAGTAAAACAAGTCCAGGACAGGATCATCATATGCTGAATGCTGAGCTGATTGTATCTGAAACTGACACCATCAGTAGACATCCTTGTTTGATTAGTTTGCAGCACTGTTGTTTTTAAAAATGCATGCATATAATTCAGAAGGAAGAACTGTAAGTTAAGTTGAGCCATACAGAAACAAGAAACAGCATTTCCTCAGACTGTCAGGTTTAACCTTTTAAAACGCTGGGACGAGTTATGAAAGTGGTTGAGCTGAAGCAAACAAGATGAAAAAGGTGACGACAGCTGGGCTAATTTTTTTCACTTTTTCACTTCTTCACAGTAAGAAAGAAAGAATTTACATTATCTACTAAATAAGCAATGAAAAAATAAATAAAAACAAAGCTGATGTGTTAAATACTGGAGGAAACCTATGGTAATGCTTTGAGAAACTTTAAGCTAATACAAAACAAACAGGCTACATGATAGTGGAGTTTTTAAGTTGCCTTGAATTTTACATATACATTGTACGTATGACTGGATATGTGTTTTATAAAAGTTTGTGGCACATTGATACTGTCAGAAGATGTACGTAAAGATGTATATGAGCAGTTTTTGAAACCAAATTTTTGCCAAAAAGACTAAAAGGTAGCTTCCGAGCTAGCCCCGGTGTTAGCTGGGAGCGGCTAGCTCTGAGCTAGCCCTGGCTCTCCGTTTGGTTCCAACCGGAGCACCAAGCCCTGGTTTGTTATTCAGGTTAAAGTGGGAAGAAGCAGCAGGTTTATCGGGCAGCTGAGTGAAGTGGAGCCTGCGGAGGAAACACCAGGACCGTCTGAATGTAATAGTCCGTGGAGGTGCTGCGGTTCACGGCTGCACAGATAGGTAACACCTCGGCTGTCAAGATGTACCACTCTGTCACTCTGCTCTCTCTCATGCAGGCGCAGAACGTACGTGCCACTTGGCCGTCGGATGTAGTCTCTGTAGTGTGTTCAAATGCAACTGACACATGGCGACGTGAGGCGATGTAGACGACCCAACAGTTGCTAGTTGTTTGATGTTGGTTTGGTGTGTCTGCACCTTAAGAGTCAACAGCCATGCAAACACATTGTGATGCTGTATGTAGGTACAGAGGTGCTTTGAGTGTTTACCACTGTAGTTTACTATGTTAGTATGCGAATACTCACCAAACAGTACTAAAAACAAAGTGCTGTTGATGTTACTTATTTAGAGGTATTTACACA